GGAAAGGCGCGCGCCGACTAATAGGGCCCCTCCGCGCTCGCAGACGCCTCTCCGCCGCGGGACCGCGACCCCGCCGCGGAGCACACCTGGACGCTGAGGTTCAGCCCGACCCCAACGAAGGCTGGGGGCGCACCCCGCGCCCCCGACTCCCCGCCGCCGCCCGCACTCGGCCCGGCGGTCAACCTCGCAGCCGCCCCGGCCCTCGCAGGCCCAGACCCGCTGTCTGGTTACCCCCAAGAGCCCGCGCCCTCCCGCGGCTTCGCCCCCGCATCGCCCACACCTGCCCCAGCTGAGGACGCCCCGCCGCCCCGCGCGCCTCTGTCTCTGAACGACACGCTCCTGGAGACCCTGGGTCACATGGGCCACATCGCGGCCACCCTGGGCCCGCTGCGCGACCAGCTGCTGACCCTGAACCAGCACGTGGAGCAGCTCCGCGGCTCCTTTGACCAGACGGTGTCCCTGGCCGTGGGCTTCATACTGGGAAACGCCTACGCCGAGAGAGGCTTCCTGGCCGGCCCTCGGGAGTGACCCGCCCGCGCCACCCCCCCACTCGCCCCTCGGCGGCCTGCGTTTCCCGCCTCTTCCCCTAAGCCCTGTATTTTTCTCAATAAAAGGTTGTTTTTCATTTTCGCAGCTGGGCGAGTGCGGATCCTGCGTCTGAGCCGGAAAGACCCCTGCTGGGGGGTGGGGGCTGACCGGGTGTCTTTTCGCACCAAAGTCAGACAAGGTTAAAACGCCTCCCTGTCCAGGGAGGCGCGCGGGCCCTGCCAGCGCTCCATCAGCAAGGAGCTGCGCGTTGTAGTGTTGTTACCTAAAGAGGTGCCCCGAGTTCCGCTGGGGCTGGACGCTCTCGGAGCTCGCTTTCTGCTGCGAGGGGGGCCTGGGTCACTGGCTGACCAGTGGGGAAAATGGGGGCCAGGCCGGATAACCCTGCGGCTCCAACTTTGGGTGTGCCCCCCCCCCAAGTTCTGCTGTAAGCTGTGGCGTTAAACCACCAGACCGAGGTCAGCGGTAGACTACGGCGACATGGACAGGACGGACTACGCCTGGCCGTGGAAGCTGGCCCCAGCGTTCATTTTGATTTTACCACAATTGCCGAGCCATCTTAAGAGCTGCCACGGAGACTGGGCGGAAGCGGAGTTTCTGAATCCGCTTCCTAGGGAGTATTGTGCATAACAATGGCGGTCGTTGAAAGTGCTTGTCCCTGTTTTACAAATGATGGGGCCCATCTTGGGATGGGAGGCTCACCCAGGTGGACGGGTATCTTTTGGGACAAAGGCTTGGTTTTCGGGGTGACAGTCACCCCCCATTTCCCGAAGGTACTCTGCATGATCGCCACCACAGAGAAATCGCCGGAGCTGATGCTGGGCCCTATCTAGAGTTGGGGTCCAGGCCGAGTGCGCTGTCCAGCCAGTAGCCGTGGCTGAGGGTAGAGGGGAGCAGTTTGCACGCGTCTGGCACCCCCTAACGTCCTCAGGTCTCCTCCTGGGCTGGGAAGGAGGAGGTGGAGTGGGATCTGAGACCCTGGGCACCTCCAGGCCTCCCTACCCTGACCCGTGGTGTGAGTTTGTCCTCGAGCACACCTCTTAGTGACCGCAGGAGTTGTCTTCACCATGACCTGAAGCGGGTTATCCCACTGCCCCATACCAACACCTTGCAGAGTCAGCCCAGGCCCTCTGGAATTCAGCCGTTCGGAAGGACTGCTGCGTGCATGCTTGTCTAGTTAGAAGCCGGCCTCCAGCTGCTCTAGGAGCATTGACTGCATGCTTAGGCACCCACTCTTTACCCCTCTTTGAAGGCCTGCGTGGAGCGCTGGACCCGCTCTTCCCTGGTCCCAGCCAGTCAGATAACCTAAGGCAGATGCCGAGGTGGCATCCTGCCCAGACAGTGCTCACTGTCCAGGTAGAGGACACTGCTGTGTTGTTTGAGCCACCGCCTCCCCCAGCCAGGCAGCCTCCGGCCCTCCTGGGTGTCAGCTGAAGTCCCATCCCACTAGGACCTGTAACTCCTCCCTGTCCTGTGACCCTCCTGAGTGTCCTGAAGCCAAATCTGGCCTCATGTCAATACCTGGCTTTTCCCAGAGGAAGGATAGTTATGAACACACACTTGAGTGTTAAAGTATTTTTCTCCAAATAGTATTCAAAAGATTCTCTGCCTCTGAGGGCTTTGTTACCCCCGGAGCCCTGGTAGAACAGTGTTTAAAGCACGTGGGGGCTAACCAAAAGGAGAAGAGTAGGGCAGTTTGTTCCAGAAAGATAGCATCTGTGGGAGCCTTCTGGCGCGGGGGGGGGGGGGTGTCTCCATCTTCAGGTCACTTAAGTCAGAACCACAGTGGTGGAGAGGTGGTCAGGTATCCTTGAGTGAACTAGTTCAGTGACCCTGTGAACAACAGACCTGAACCATGCTCTGGCCTGTGCCATCTTTACGAACTCTGACACACCTGAGCCCACTGTCACCGTGTCATTCCATCTCATTGAGGATCTTCCTCGTTTTTGCTGACCCTCCACTGTGATGTCCTTCTCCAAGGACTGGCCCCTCCTAACAACATGCCCAGAGTATGTAGGATAATGTTTCACCATCCTCGCCTCCAAGAAGCACCTGGTTTCACTTTCTCCAAGACAGACCTGTTCTCTTGGCAGTCCATGAGCAAGGTGTGTGTGTGTGTGTGTGTGTGTGTGTGTGTGTGTGTGTGTAGGTATATATATGTATATGTATATCAGTACTCCCAACACTACAATCTAAAGTCATCAGTTCTTATTCTGCAGTCCTTAATCATTGACCAGCTCTCAGATGCATAGCAGGCAATTGAAAAGACCAGGACTTGGATCAGACACATCTTAGTCTTTAAACTGACATCATTGCTCTTTAGCAGTTTAGAGCAGTCCATGACGGCAGATTTCCCAGTGTGCCTCATCTCTTTTTATTTTTTTTTTTTTAATTTAATGACGTTTTCTTTTTCAAAATGTACAGTGGGTTGGACCTGTTGACTTAATTTCACTAGCAGTCTGGGCATCACCACCTCGGTGTTTCTGGTGTAAATTTACTGAAATTTTAAAACCAACTTGAAGGGAGCTCTGGTGGCCTAGTGGCAAAAAGCTGCACTGCAATCCCAGAGGTATGCAGTTCGAATCCTCTAGATGCTCTGCTGGAAAAGGGGGGCAATGTTCTCCTTACCTGTCAGATCTGATTTGACGGTACTCATAAAAAAACATAACAAAATTTAAAAAAAACAAACTTGATAAGTCTTTTACTTAGCAGCTTCTGAAGGACCAGCCTGGCCAGGGAGCCATGGATCTCTGTTTCACAGAGACAGCAGCCGGGGCAGTGAGTTTACAGCCAGGGTTGTGAGCTTACGACCAGGAACTTCCTTACAGAGTATGCCTTGTGTGGCTTTGTCAGACCAGACCAGGTTATTGATCTTGTCCTGAACTTTGCCCTTGACCCCACATTTGTTCACTGGGTCTTTGTCCTTCTTGGTAACTTTCTTGCGCCTTTTTTTCTTGTCATCCTTGGGCAGCATTGTGAACCTCAGAGAGGAGCGAGGCTCACCCACAAGCCTCAACCCCACATCGTTTTATTTCTTGACTTCTGGACTCAGGGTGTTGGCTTTGGATCCAACGAAGAGGAAATCATTGACTTCAGGATAAAAATTTGTCTCCCTTATCTTTTCCCTGTCGCTTTGCCCTGAAAACAGAATTGAGGAAGCACTGCACTGCAATCCCAGAGGAACACGGTTCGAATCCACCAGATGCTCTGCCGGAGAAGGAGGCGCAATATCCTCCTGTACCAGTCAGATCTGATTTGACGGTACACGCACACAAAATAAAAAAAAAAAAAAAAAAAAGAATTGAGGAAGCATTGCTGAGCAATTGCCCTTTTCCCTTCCTGTTCCAAAAAAAAAAAAAAAACCACAAAGCAAATCACAATTTCTTTTGATCGCTGGAGGCTGTGATGGCCTCACTGGGTGTAAAACCCCAACGGTGATACATTGTTACCACCCCTCCAGTGCTCTTGGTGGCCAGGGCTCCACTGCAGACAGAAAAGGGAGGGAGGCATGGGAATCCCTGCGCTCCAGAGGAGGATTTACAGCCTGGAAAACGTCCAGGCAGTTCTGCCCTATCAGGTTCCCCTAAGTGCACTCATCTGCCTGCGTTCAAACTCTCCTGGGTCTCGGTACCCACCAGTCACACCCTTAGAAGTGGTGATCCATGAGGGGGAGATGAAGGACACACCGCCGCCCCCTCTCTGCCAGGGACTCTGGCCGAGTCCCTGCTGGCCTCTGGACACTGGGCAGACATCTGGTTCTCTTCCCTCTCCCTCCTCAGCCAACAGGCTTCAAGTGGAAGAGTGAGACTATGGAGTCAAGGAGAGTCTTTTGATGGATGTTAGAGGGTAGTTGCAGACCCTAGTGAGGGCAGCCAGTGCCCCAGGTAACTGAACCAGCTTGGACCAGACAGGTGGGGGGAGGGAAATAGGTGACAGGGAAGGCACCACCAGCCCAGGTGAGAACTCAGAGGAAGGGCTGTGTGTGGAGAGGAGGCTGGAGTGAGGGCAGGGAGGAGCCCACGGTTGCCTGTGCTGAGCAGCCACGATGTCACTTCCAGGGCCCAGAACACAGAGTAGAGCAAACAGCTGAACCTGGACTGGGGTCCCAAGACCAGCTCCCACATGGGTGTGATTGCATGGTTAGGATCAGTGCAAAAGGCAGGAGCATTGAATTCACTGCTTCTCTCCTCATTCTCCAGGACAGACTGAGGTTGCTTCTCAGATAAAGAGGTGTAACAGGTCCCCAGAAGGCAGCGTCTCATTGGCGGGCACACCGGCCTTCCCCCAGACTTCACGTGTTGGTGGCTGCGTTCTGATTCTCAATGAAGGTGATTAGGCGCTGCTTATCTGGGAGTGTTTGTGCTTATCCTCCACACTCCCTGCCCCCAGTGTATAAATGACTTGGCATCTCCACCTGAGGCAGACACCAGCTTAAAACCTGACCCCAGGTGTCCAGCCACTGTAGCAGTTTCTGCATCAGTCTTCTCCTGTGTGCCCAGTTCACTGGTCCAGCAAGCTCCGGATCTTCTGTGTGACAGACACTTCAACATTTGTGGCCCCTCTGACCCTTGTGAGTCCTACGTTGGGCCACTGCCTGGCCAGCCATGGCCCCCTCCAACTTTCCCAAAAGCCCAAAGCATCACTCATGCTTCTGCCCAGAGCAGCTGCCCAGGACCCACCCTCACCTCCCATGGCACTGAGTCTCCTGGAGGGGCCTGGCTACTCCTGCCCAGGCGTCACCCAGAGGGGCTCCCCACACAGGACTCAGCCATGGATGGGGCCAGGCTGTAGACTGCAGTGAGGCCTGTGACTGGGAGGTCTGCAGGGAGGATGGGATTTGGGGAGACTCTCTAAGGGCAGGAAAGGCATGTACCCCAGTCACGTGGGCAATTCCTAGAGGGCTGTGGTGAGACCTTCACTCACTCAAAAGTGCTGGACCCACTCAGCCCTGACCAGTGCACAGGTCCTAGCTGGCATTCTGG